GGCAAAAGTAAGGGATCATCCGAAACAAAAACATTATGTCTACCTAACTTTTGAACTGTTTTCTAGCGTAGTTTTAGTTACATTATTTATCATTGAACAAATACTAATAATTAAGGTTTTCATTTAATATCATACCAATCAAGGTTATTTTACGACTTGACCTTTTCATTATCGGTATTTAAAATTTAATTCTATTTTACCCTTTTTAATACTTTACGCGAACCTGGATGGACGAATAAAAACGAAACAGTAAACAGCACTCAACATTTGATTTTATTCAATAACACTCATAAAAACCAGTGGAATTCATTTACGTTCAGCCAACTGATGAGAGCAGACTTCGGAAAGCAATTAAAAATTAAAATCTCGCTGACGGCAATCAGGAAATTAATTTTCAATATAAATGGAAAAATAGAAATGATTTTTTGTTCGATTTTCAATGGAAATTCCATTATTTGTATATTTATTTTTGATGTCAATATAGAAAAAAGAAGTATATTGACCACATTAATACGGACTTTTAATTCTGGCGAAATATAGACTAGTGATATGATAATCAACTTGTATAGAAGAATATCGGTCCTAAAAATATGAAAATTTATGAGCGATTAGCTAAAACCATTTACAGTTGTGTCTCAATCTCTTTTAAAAAAGGTTTCAGATTCTAGAACCCGGTTAGGATTCGGTACGATCATCGTTTGGGTATTGAAAGAAAAAATATTGTAAAATAAAATCTTCACATTTATGTAGCAAAGGCTAAATAAACCTATATCCGCTTAGAAGCATTTAGAGAGCTTACGTAAACACCATTGAAAGGTAATATTTAAAACCAAAATTAAATTAGGCTTCATTTTGGACCAGCTATCCCAACAGTACCACCTAGTTAAATTTTTATCAAAATCATTACTGGAGCTTACAAAGGGTAAAAAGGGTTAAAAGGAAATGTAAAGTTTTCAGTAAGCATTTCTACGAACATTTTATGCCTAAGTAACTTGAGGTAACTCCGTGGCCCAGTTGTCAAGGTATTGGCTTCGGCGTCGGGGGCCGTAGGTTCGATTCCCACACGGGACAACTGTTTGTCGACCCACAGATAGTTGTATCGCATCCGGGTGTTTGTCCTCGTGCAATTTATGTTTGTGAGAAGTCCTTACAATACAGGATAATAAATTATCCTAAAGTGAGCGCAATTTAAAAAAAAAAAGTTACACGGCCAAGGAAAGATTGAAAGCTTCTGGAAAGATCTTTCACTTGCCGCTTCAAGAGATGAAGCAGCAAGTGAAAGATTTGGTGCACGGTACGCCGTGCTTCAAAAAAGTATTTTAAACTTCAAACTTGAGAGTAAAGATTCATTTTGTAGATTTTTAGGTACAATTTTCTCCTTTTGCACCATAGCATAGAAATTGCCGCTACATCTCAGGGCTAGCGTAACTGAATAGGTTGTTTTTAAAGATGGTGCGAATCCGAGGGTTTGCTTCGCAGAATTAAAATCGCTGGAGCGCCAACATTGCATCGGCGCACTGTGGTCCCCGCCCATACTAAGGTGCGACAAAAATATAAAATACTTTATTTTTACGATTTTATGAATGAAACTGGTTAGATAAGAGATATAATAAGTTTATTGTTATAAATTATAATAAATAACGATATATCAATATATATAGTACATAAAAAAAAAATAATTTTACAATAAATTAAATCAAATCAAAAATTGCGACTCAAAGTTATTCTGAAAGATGTAACTTACTTAAGCATAAATTTATATTGAACAACACACAAAGTTATGAAACCTGAAAATAAACAATAGAAATGCAGCTATACTGTATTTGTAACAATAATATTTTAAAAACTCTAGGAGTTTCAAAACACCCTATGATAAAACAGTTTTTTTTTCTTTCTAGGTATTTTTCTAAGTTCTGATATGAATGGATCAGAGCTTAAAAGAAGCCTATTCAAAAGGTCCCTATTAGTTATAGTCCTAGAAAACTTCCTAGTCTGACGAAGTCTGAACATTAAAATGTTATATCATACTAGGAAGTTTCTCGTTTTATTTGTCGCTTCTGCCTCTTCTTCAGAAAGTTGTCCAATTGGTAAAAGTGAATGTTCTATGATAGCAGACCCATGCACTAATACCTTGTGGATAGAAGCTGGTAGGTAAAACCATGCATATGCTTGGACAATTAGATTGGCAGTTTCCATTGCAAATTCCCCAAACTTAATAGAGTTTATTTTGTAGCCAGAATTTATAACTTGCAATGTTGTGGCTTAACGTTTTATCAATTCCTGTAATTTCAGCAGAAATTTCAGGATTCTCAAAGAACTTTCTTGCCGTATTGCCATCATTTGAAGTCCCACTTCCACCTGATTTAGTTTTGTCTATTACCAAACCCCTTTTGTATCCTGAATTGGGATTGGATGTCTTTTTTCCTTTCTGCTACACTATCTTTATCAGCTTGTCTAACTTGCCACTTTTTTATATTAAGCCTATAAGAAACATGCAGAAAAAAAAGCGCTTCGCGTATCTCTTGAAATACGAGCTCGGCCCGCTATGTAATGTTCAACTTTTCTTTTTCAACTTTCAAATTTCGAAGACACTCATGCATGGAAATATATACTCCCGCCTTAAACCTGCAATAAAAACAACATTTTAGTAAATAAATGCAAAAAGAAAGATATTCAGTGTTAATTCGTGTGCGTAGCAAAGTGCTACAAAGAGATTATTTTCACGTAACACCCATATTGCTCTAAAAGGGGGGAAAACGGGGAACGAATTCAAGTGAAATCATAAAGAATGAGGTCTCACCTAACATATATAAAAACGTTTGTTACGGAAATATGGAGGAATATAAACTAAAACTCGACATGTATTAAATTAAAAATTAAAACACTTACATAAAAAAGGTATATCACGTAGCAGTAAAATTTCATCAAAATAAACAATATTAAAATTGTAAATCAAAGAAAAAAATATGTAAATACCGTGTCCTTGGAAATCCATTTTGAAAATAAATCAAACATGTTTCTGGGAAGGTTTCTGGGAATCGACAAACGAAATCACGTAACAATTGCGTGAGTCTCTAGTAACGGATTTTGGATCACTGTTGTTATTCACACTTTCGATGACGAAATGGTAATGAAAGTAATTAGCTATTTATACCATTGTTAAGTTCAGACTTTGTAGTTGTTATAATGATCACTACTTTCACTGAAACGCAGAGTGACCTTGGGTGATTTTTGTCGTACTATGGAACCACAGTGCGGCGGTTGAATCTTGGCCTCTGTATACACTCAATATCCTCGTTTCATTCAGCATAAAATTTATCATAGTGAAATTAATACAAAAACAAACAGTTTTCAACCGGAGGATACGGAACTTTTGTTCCGTTCGTCCGTTCGCCATTTTGAAGAACATAGTTCGCGTTTTCACGAACATAGTTCGTTTATGCATTGTTCTTTAAATAATTTATGACATAAAAACAGAATAATTTAATGTTATTAAGGGAAATGAAGAATGTCATAAACGGAAACGAAGACAGATAAATTAGGTACAGATATGATTACTACTACAAGAGTTAAATGTTTACCGGTTCATTGTTACGATTTATTATATAGGAGCATAAAAGTAGGCTATAAAACAATAGTATTGGCGTTCCCGCCAATGCTTATTTCGAATATATTACTTATTTTAACCTAATTTGATTAAGTTGACCTTTATGGTTTCAATGCAATTGGTATCTGTAGTCACAAAGACCAACTGTTACCCTAGGTAGAAGATACACAAAAATACTAAAGTAAAGTAATAATTAAAAGTATTTACACACATAACATACGTTTTTTCAACAACTCCTGTAGCAAACGTGATTTTCAATAGAAATTATTTCATTCTTAAATAGAAACATTTATGTTAAATACTTAATGACATGTAATATGAAATGATTGCATGCATTCTCTTACACCCTTTACCATACATACATCCTAACGATGTCGGTAAAAGATTATTGCTAAAGTTTAATTTAATTAACGTAACTCTAAATATTGCTCGTTACCGCGATGACGCTAACTTGGGATGAAACATTACCGGCATAAAGTTAATTAACTAAAATTATGTTTGCGCCGGAATTAGCTCTTAATCTTGTCTGAACACTTTAGTCGATGAGTTAAAATCGCATCGATCGTTTAAATAAAACTGATTATTTCTTACTTTTAAATCACGAAAAATCTAAATTATCAATCAGTTTCATAATAGTACTTAATATCCATAATATATCGTAAGAGTTTTCAGTGCAAATATTTACTTTATTTACACTGAAAACGTGCGCGGCCGCTCTCTCGTTACCGCTCAAATCCTCACTTTACTACTAAAGATGCGACGATTTTCTCGTAGCTGACCAATCCTCCAGTTACGTGTCTCCAAGTTTGTATCTCCCATGTACGCCATAACAGGTTGCGCGCTCCGGGACCCTTTTATAGTCCGAAATGTGATAGTTTTTGCGTTTAAAATGTTCTAGAAACGAGTTTATTTCAATCGCTTTTTTAATAGAACTTTCAGGAATCGGGACCAGGGCCTGAATTTCGATCTGTTTAATAAAAATCTCCAGAATAAGACCACCTTCCTTATCTCTAAACTAAGAATTTAAAATTAAATTAAACGAGCTACTCTAACCTAACAAAACAGGGAACAATCAGACGTCAACCACAATTATCTCCCTCCGGGATGTGCTCGTCTCGAATATCATTTGATCCTTCAAATCAAGTGTACTATCATATAAATGTCCTCGTCGGTGAATTCCAGGTGGACGTAACCACCACCCCTGGTTTTCTTGAAGAATCGGATCTTCTATTTGCTTCCAAAGGTATTTTGGAGTCCCTCTGAGTAAGGTGTCGTACTCATTCTTTGCGTGGTTCGGCCAATTGCCGCTGCCGTCGAACGTCACAAAGTGTCTCCTCCGTGAACAGATTGCACATAGTTGACTTCTTTTCTGTGACTCAAGTCCGCTGTTTTAGCACTCCTCATGCCATTTATGTACTTCCTCGTTTTTCGGCAAGGTGTACTTGTTGCGGTTGTCCCGCAACTAATGGAATATAATTAATGGAGTTAATTCATTATATGCAATATTTAAATTATTTTCGTTCGTTTTCTGTACGTTTGAATAGAACTGGTTATATGACTGGTCGTATTAACCATAATAACCACAAAAGTATCATGAACAATGTAAATAATTTTTCACCACTGCTGGGCAAAGGCCTCCTCTATACAGAGGGTATGAGGGCATAGTCCACCACGCGGCCCCACTGCGGATTGGTGGACTTCACATATTTTCGAAATATATTTTTTTTTTGTTATTATTTCGAAAATATGCAGGTTTCCTCACGATTTTTTCCTTCACCGCGGAGCACGTGATAAGTCAGCACTTAAAGTTAAAAACTTCATTGGTGCCGGCCCCGGGGATCGAACTCAGGTTGCTCGAGTATATTGAATTAAAGGCGCCCGGTGACTGAGCTATCACGGCTCTTGTAAAACATAAAGCCTTAGAGAAAACCACAGATTTAGCGAAGCGATTTTGGAATTTATAAATTCCTCCATCAAACAAATCGTATTCCTATCTAAATAACGGGACAAATTATTTTATCAGTCTTGCACTGAATATGCTGGAGAGCACACCACGGCATCCAATTTAATTGAACGACCAGCACTTGAAATGGCCGAGAATAATGTAATGCGACGAAACAGAAAACTGCCGTGAATAAGCATGAATAGACATATGCAACTCTTCTCTCCGACTGAAGTTATTAACATGTCAATCAATAAAAATATGATGAAAACCAATGAAATTATATACAAATACGATATCGTGCCCAAACTGAGGTACTCATTTACAGCAGTTTTTGTAATTGATTACCATCCTATCTCCCTTCGTATCACATTCTATATCATCTGTCCCACATTCCCTTAATCATATACATTGATTAAAAAGCGGAACAAGTTTTAAAAGCCTCGCAGTGTTGACATCACCATTAAATCACAGATAAAACTACGCTTACTTATTCGACAATATGTTACCATATTTCAAGTCAAAAGGAAACTAAAAATTATGTGAATTTTATTCTTTTTTTACATAATTGACGGAAAAAAGGGTATTATTAAAATATTAAACAATGTATCTTCCTTAAACTAAATGTTATTGTAACATTGTTTTACTTAAAAATAAAGATTTGTGAAAAAATCACTGACAAAAATATAAAACTTATAAAACTGTTATACAATCTTGTTCCTTCTCACTTTCTTTTAGTAGCCCTAAAATATATCATCAAGTATTGGGAATGAGTAATTAGACTGTTACTCAAATTTAGTTATGGAATAGTTTAGGGGACTCCTAGGGATTTACGAACGGCCGGCCTGCATGACGTCAACCGCCCTTGGGAAACAAACACGCAGATCCGGAACAATTATCTGTTGGTCACACAAATACTTATCCCGTGTGGGAATCGAACCCAATACCCCGACGCCGAAGCGAATAATTTAACAATAGTTTATTAATGTTGGATTAATGTATTTGATTTTAAAAAAATACTCTGTTGGCTTTCTCTAGTTAATCTATATACATTTATGTAGTTAATTTCATAAATTGAAATATCTTAAAAAGTTAATATAAGCCAAGAATAGGTAAAATATGAAGATACACTTAAAAGAAACACGAGAAAATATTTAATATCTTTTTAATTTACATATTTGCGAATTTCACAAAAAAGTTTTTACTTCTTGTATCATTACGCCACGAAACGATGTTTTCTTTCATAATTTAATGATTCAAAAAAGAAATGCATGAAATAAATAGAATATTTTCTATAAAATATTCTTAGTCATTTAAGATTAATTTATTATGATATTTTTTTATTATTTTAAATGAATGACCACTCTCATTAACAAACACAACGTACATATACACTTGTTTATAACAAATTTAAAATAAATAAACCACGATAATCTAATGAAGTCTACATTATATTTATATAATCACCATTCATATCATCTAAGTAGTCAAACAATTCAGTCATTTCTTTATTACCTTAATAATTGTTTTAGACTATAAACGAACGTTAATCTGATGTGATAATTCTTAACGCTTACGTTATTAGTTATAGTCAGGTATCACTTAAATCATACATATATTATTTTCACACATTTATTGAACAGTAACATTTATATTACCGTTATTCTTATGACAACCACTTATTAAGTCAGAATAGCTTCATCAGGTTCCTGTTCCTCCTTCACCATATAGACTGACCTACGAAACGCCCCTACATCACACTTGGAGCTAGACACGTGTTGTAGCATTTCGGGCAACATTTCGACTTCAGAATTAATCATCGTCTCATCAGTCAGAATTATGCTTTCATCGCGTCAAGAGCGTTGAAGAAATTCTGGCGTCAACATTTTTTGTGAACTTACTTTTAACAACTTTTCGTTGTGCCTCAAACGGTGAACGATCTCGTCGTGGAGAACGTTAAAGCACATGGCCGTCAAAGCTAGGCCGGTCATGATGTAGATCGAACAAAACCATACAGTGCCTGTGGATGCGCCATTTTTCTGCGTAACGCCAGGTGCCAAATGTCCAAAACCAATCGTACTCAAACTCATGAAACAAAAATATACTCCATCGATAGGGCTCCATCCCTCTAATTGGTATAGGACAAAGGCACCAAAAAATATGTAAGTAAAGATAGCGGCAAGACAGAGTAAAATCGGTGCTAGAATTGAGAATCCCCGAAGAGACATTTTTGAATCAGTGTCAGTGCAACTCATAGAGTCGCAATCTCTGAGAAAGCTTAAGCCTTGATTTTTATCTTTGACAGAATTAGTGCTCACACTATTAGCTTGCGAGGCGGATATTATTGTTCCTGATGGCGATCGAACATAATAAGGTTCTTGTAAATGTAGAGTTTGTGTTCTATAATCGTCCTGTCTCCTAACTTTTTCCTTGCGTTCCTTGCTAGCCATAGTGTGTTCGTCGAGGCAGCAATATCCACATTTCGTGCATAGGCAGCAACATAGGGCCTTGCTAAAAACACTTCTCGCTAGTCTTGAAAGTAGAGCGCCAACGACGGATAAATACAAAAGTGTCAAAGGTATACCAATAACAGCATATGCAATAGTCACTGCTTTTCCTAGCGCAGTTCTTGGTGCAACGCTGCCGTAACCTGAAACATAATAAAAAAAATCACTCAAAATATATCATATATATATTGAGTTCGATCCCCACTATTGGAAAAATATTGTGTGATGAACATGGTGCTTTTCTAGTGTCTGGGTGTTTTTATATGTTTAATATGTATTTATTTACAAAAAAAGAAAAGCATGTTTAAGTATGTTTATCACTTTTCTAGTACCCATAGTACAAGCTTTGCTTACTTTTTACTAGAAAATGTGTAAAAATGGGTAAAAAAAAAAGCGAAGCCGCGGGCGAAAAGCTAGGAACGTTATAAGTAACTTATAACTTTATTTACAGAAAATGATAGTTATCCAATCACTATTCTTATAAATGATCAAGATGCATTTGATATTATTTTATTCGTGCAATAAGAGTTGGACTATTTATTCTTTTTTTATTTTTATTTTTTATTATCCTTTATACTTATTGGTTTTAAAATATAAAAAAAAGCAATTAATATAAATAAACTAAAAAGTATTTTACCTATCGTCGTAAGTACTGTAAGAGAATATAAAAACGCTTTTGCAAAGTTCCATTCGTAATCATCTGTTATTAAAGCAGGTGCTGATTCTAGGGCCCTGACTCCCCCGTATTGCTCAGTAACATCTGCAGCAACTCTTGCCACCAGTTTCTCTTGGAATCTCGCAATTTCTTGAGCAGCTAACCTTGTCCAGTTTTCTTTATACAGAATATTTAAGGAAACCGTTATTTCCCATATACTCTCGACTGTCTGAGTCCTCAACTCTGCGCTCGCATGAGCAATGCTACTGTTGACCTTAGATAGCGGAATGGTTTTCTGGTTCTCATTTCCCTGATATGAAGTGGCCGCTAAAGTCTTCTGGTGAACTTTTGCGGCGCTGCCTTCGATAGCAAGGAAAATGAAGGCACCCAACAATGTGTAAATTAATAGTATCGTGAATATTCCCAAATTTGTGATGCATCCTGTTATCAAGCTCTTCTTCTTGCCCTTCTTGGTTTTGACGCAGAAGCAACATGTAACCTCTTCGTCGTAGGCGTCCGTTTTGCAATTCTTTTTGTATTTCCCATTTGTACTATTCTTCTTCTTTATACTTTTGTCCATCGTTAATTTTATTATATAATTTGGCACATAGCTTTTTCCTTTTTTAGGAACTTATTATTATTAACGCACTTGCTTATCTGTAACAAACCATATAGTTAATTGGAAATTTTTATTAATAATCTCATTGAATAAAACTACACTAATATAGCTTCTGAACAAAATCACACAAATATTAAAAATATTGCAAAACGTCATTCTCGTACAGTAACACTAATTACGTGGTCCTTAAATTTCTATAAAATTCCCTATAAAAGACAAATAAGAAAAAATCTAACCCATATCTACTTAAAAACTCGTAATTTTGGCATAGTAATATTTAAGAATCAATGGATATATACATACTCGAAATATAAATTAAATACAAATTCATAAAATAAAAAGCAATTCGTTGACGCTGATAACAATCGAATACTGTGAAAGAAAATGTAATAAGAATAATACCAGGCTGACAACGCATTTCTAAGATTTTAAATATGGTAGGGCAGGTCTTGTCGGAAAAGTACCACGACCTCACAGAAAACCAGCGTGAAGTGGTAGGTTTGCAGTTCTAAGTTTGTTCTTGTTAAGACGTAACCGGGGCCCAATTTATTTGTAATTATTTTTGAACAATATTCTACTAACTTTATATCAACCAACATTCGAATTGCACTTTGTATTTTTACATCGGCGTACAGAAAAGTAAACTGATTCAACTAACGTCTTTGTTCATGCTAAGTAGGATTTTAGACTAAACATATACGATCTCCTAAACGGGAATCACAATCCATAAGTTGCTTAGTTAGTTTACACGCATTACACCAAATGGCCTAAACTTGTTGCTTTCTAATAGCAATTATCCTTTGAATTATAAGACCGTCTAACGTGATTTTGCGTACAAAACAAATCATTTGAGCGCAATAATTAGTTTTAATCAAATAAACAGCTAAAATATAAATTGAAATTTATGAAATTGGTTTCGATTACTCTTTGTCTAATCGTCGATAATTTATATTCTAAAATCACGCATCAAATGCTCGTTCTATATAAAGAGGCCACGGAGGAGAGATTTTGCATTTATTATATTTTGTGTAAATCAAAGGAGACCAATAAAATATATTCATATCGAAAATTCATCAATCACTTAATATGGGTGCGTCGTGGACACTCAAATCAAATCAAATTAAAAATATATTTATTCAAATAGATTCTTATGAATCGTCAAATTTTACATAAAAAAATTAATATAGTTTTGTAAGATACTACCGGTTCGGAATGCAGTTCCTGCTGAGAAGAGACCGGCAAGAAACTCAACAGTTTCAAATAACATACAGGCCTTATTCTGGCCTATGTGAGTATCAACAGTATTAACTCCACACATTGGCGTCGTCGAGATATTCCGCAATGGTATAATATGCTTTAACCATAAGTTGACTTTTAATTTTACGTTTAAATTGATCAAGCGGCAGACTTAATATCAATCTTATCACACTTTGCCCAATGAATAACCTATTTACTTTTTGTAGACGAAACAATGGCGTAGTATGTTTTTCCTTATTTCTAGTGTTTATTTTATGTCCGTCATTATTCCTTAGGTAATAATTAAGGTTATGACGAATATACAAAATATTACAATAAATGTATTGAGAAGCAACAGTGTACACCGACTGTTGGATTGCTCCACGAGCGCAAGGTGATGCAGCACAAAATGGAGCGTGCTATGCTCGGCATAACGCAATACGACCTAGTCCGAAACGAGGTCATCAGACGACGCACGATAATGGTTGACATCGGCTTTATATCTATATATTATCAATGTAGAGCAAGCGCGTTTTGGAGTGGAGATCTGGAAAGAAGAAATGTGGGAAGACCACCAGCCCTATGATTCGATGACATACAGGAGACTGCAGGCCCAGTCTGGACAAGGAAAACGAATAACCGTACTAAATGGAGGAAATTTGGAGAGAGGGAAAGAAAGAAGAAAATTGCATTTTGCTTTAGTGGTTAAAGTAACCAGACGCTGTCTCCTAAAGGTTGGCAACATGAGAGTAAACCATTTTTACCACCGTTTAAACTGATATCTTCCTACAAAAAAATTGGTGACACTGTTTAAAAATTTATCTCAAATTTTAATTGAAATGCTTTCGATTAGTAAGATGTTTAAATTAATTTAAAAGAGTAATATTATATTATAGACTTAACATTAGCAACACTTAAGAATCAGACTTTGGACCTTCTTTATTGAACATAACATTGTAGCAATAGATAGCGGGCCATATATTTCCGATTTCAATATTAATTCATAAATCGCAAAAATAATATGAAACCTTTCTGAAATCAATGAGAAGAGATGTCATATCAAAAGTAAAGCGTCTTCGGAAGAATAAAGGAAATTGTTTCAAGCCTAATAAAGAACCAGTATAAAATAACAATCTACATAATATTCCACTGAAATTTATAATCAATTTCAGATTTTATGCCCACGGATCTCGCTCGGAATCCATTGGAGCGCACGCGGGGTAATGAAATAAGTCATTTAAATTGAAATAGAGATTTCAATGGTGGAACATTAGGCGTCGAGGAGGCTAAAACGCGGTAATATTGGATTATATCACTGATTTATGCAAAATCTTTATCAGCGGCGACACCTGAAATTGGATTTTGGTGTCGTCACATTACTCGTGGAGAAGTAAGTGCAAAGTGAAAAGGTTTTTCCATCCGATTTTAATATAACAATGTTTTGCTGCATACGTTTATAAAATCATTGAAGTTTTGAATTTAATTGATGTTACTATCTGTTTCTTCCCCGCTAGAGAAATTACGAAACAATGGTAAATAAAAAAATGACTATCAATAAATGAAATGTATTTTTTTTATGTCGATAAATGATTTTGATTTTTATCCCTTGATTGTAAAAAAATGTACAATTAAATGTATATATTTTATGGCTCTAACTATTTTCATTACTTTATCATAATGAGTAAGAGTTTTTATTCAAGTTAGATGGGTTTAGTATGTTTGTCTGACTAATAGACATAAACCGCACTAAACTACACAGATCGTACACGATCTATTCCCTAAGTTTATGATATAGTTATATTATATATCATTTATTGTGGCAAAACATAAGGACGAACATTGAAGAGATTCTATTTATTTAACAAATCGTGTAACATACTATACTAGAAAGTTTCATAAAATGGAATTTGCTTAGAGGCTACTGTTTCAACTTTTCCGAAGCACAGATAAATTTCCGCTGTAAAGTTAGCCCGTTGCTATTCATCTATACAGTTTCTATCGAACGAGCGGGTAGCGTTCAGTCGAATGCCCATTCGAATTATTGGATTTTACTTTATACGCATACCAACGTATTAAACCGCCAGTTTCTGTTATTATAAAAACTCAGGTACTCGTATACCCGCAGTAAACGTTAACGTAAAATTCCGTCAGGTAACGTCAAATTAGATCGCCTTAAATGTTATCACTTTTTAATGTTTCATTCGTTTCCAGATATATCGACATTGCACCGGTTGACTCGTTTAATGATAACAGTGCTCCTGTTGTGTTAGAATTACTAAGATTAAAAATGTACGAAACTTGTTCAACATTCTTCGGTCTATTTTTCTTTATTTTTTCATGAAATTATTGCTTTTTCTGTACATACATTATCTTGTGTTGTGTTTTATACAAACTACCGAGTGAAACAGAGATCTGGAGCCAATCTTAAAGAAACCTTAATTATTATACGCTGCTGAGTCTTCAAATTAACATTCCAGAGTTACTATATTTTACATAAAATAGATAAGTTTTTAAAAGTAACAGCTAATACGATTATATGTATCACTGCTGGGCTGGGCAAAAACCCTAATGTGTACAGAGGATCTCTATACCACGCAACCCCACTGCGGATTGACAGACTTCGTATTATATCTTCGAAATATTTTTTATTTTTGCTTTTATATCAAAATAGATTTTCCTCGAGATTTTTCCTTCAGTACTGGGCCTGTGATAAGTCAGCACTAAAAGTTGTCATTAACAATTTCAAGATGCTCGTGTATTTTAAAAGCTAAAAGTGTAGTTTAAAAGCGTCGCAGCTCCAATTTTAAGTGATTACCCCACCCCCCCCACCCCCCACCCGTGGACATCTTTAAGACTAGAAGGTTAGCACGTGCGTTGCCAGTGTTTTATAACATATTATTATTTTTATGATCTAAACAGGAGACTGGAATTTATCAATGATCAAAAGAAACTACTTCATAAACGTATCGTTATTTGTAAGTAACCACATGAGTTTTAAATTAGAATTCAACTAGAACATGAAGTAATAGAAACTACTGGCACGGTTCTGAATACCTTTGGCTACACAGTCTCGTTGAAGCTCACGTTCCTGCACTTAAGTACAAGTTCATATCGTAGTGAAGTCTCCTTAGTTCTCGACACAACAGACAAGGCGTTACGTCTTAAGATGTTTAAGAAAGGATGAGAGTGCAATAAACTCACATCACTGCACGTGCTTATTCTCTGGTTTGTATTAAACTAATAAATTTCAAAGGCGAGACGAGACTTTGGTAGATGGTGATTCAGGGATATTAACATGCTGATTTGCTCTATTGTATTTAAGCAATTACACATTATGAATGAAACTATTTTTAAGATTTTATCGCGTTTATTTTAAATTTTAATTCCCGGCGTTTTGAACCATTTTCAACGTTCATGGTCACGGGACAGGCTAAGGCGTTGCACGTCTGAATGTCATAGTAACCCGGGCTACTTTCAGTTGTAAAATTTTTAACTTTGTGTCTAATCGATGCACTAGGTGCTAATTGTATCTCGTCTTACAGTAGTGGTTTGTTTGGGCTTAGATTTAATTTAATTGATGATAGGACCTCGTTTAAAAACATTTAAAAATAAACGCAATAAATCCGTAAAAATAGTTTCATTTATTTTGCTGATTTGCACAAATTATGTATTAGTTAATTTACAAACTATGTATTAGTGTCAATTACTGGAATCAAATGATAATT